CGGCGGAGGCGGCTGCACGGGGGTCTGCGTGTTTGGAGAAGGAGGAGGAGTGGGACGTTTGAATTTGTCAGGGCTGTTACTTCTTCGAGGTGAAGGCCTCTGTAGAACAAATATTGAAAGTAGGTTTAACACACTCCTGAACGTTAGGTGCAAGTCCTCTAAGCAATTTATTGAGCTTAGCAGAAGGAAAAAAAAACCAAGTCAAACCCCAGAACAACACACCGAACAAAACTGAACGCTTATATGGCAAGAATCCATCACAAAACAACTTTTACATAAAATAAACCTTACTCTGAAACAGAGTAGAAAAGACCAGGGGAAGTACATTTGCCATTAAACAGAACAGGCTTTCCTTCCTGTCAGCTTGCAGGAGAAGACGACAAGACATATGTCCTGACGATAAGTTTACCCATGACAACCAGCAACCTAATAAGAAATGAGAGATGCTGTAGGGTGAGCACCTCCCAGTTGTGCCTGCCTAACCAGGAGGTGCTGATGAACCTTTAACTTCATGCAGACCCTGTATGAAGTCCAACTGCGTGGTACCTGAGTGTGAGTAGAATTTTTTAACACCAGAGTCTGCTCAAAATGTTTAGCTGTCTCTAAAGACTCCTCGCCTGCATCCTGGAGCAAGATGAAAGCACAATACAAGTCATCTTTGGAGAACAAAAAAAGATTACAACCCCTTGAGCTGCAAGAGTGAAACAGTTGTTAGAGAGCTCCCCTCAACAGAAACAGATTTTCAACCACCTGTACATTTAAACACAAAGATTTAAAACCCACTTTACCTTTACAAACCAATGTAAAAATATAAATGACACTGCACAACACTAACTTCTGCACTTTTGAAGCCAAAATGCTCACTACTTACCCATCCAGTCAGCATTATTCAAGAACATCACTGCATGACAAACCACCCACCCACAGTTAATCATCAACCACAGATGAACAGCTCTGGGGAGACACATGATTGCAGGGCTACACCAAATGTACTACAGGTAAAGGCAATTTATTCTGAAATGAAGGCCAAAAATGGAGAGGTAGGAATCAAACTGCAGTTTAGTCAATGTATATTGTACATATTTTCCTGAACGGAGTACAATAGATTCATGCTCTGTGATAACCAAGGGATTCTTGACAACTGACTGACATTTCTGAAACACTTTAAATGTTTTATTGCATTTGTGTACATCTAATGATATGAAGGGACCTGGTTTCAGTATTGAGACAAAACCAAGAGCTATTTACCAAAGCCCTTCTGAAAACAGTATTTTGTTATGAAAATGACCTTTTTCATAGTGACTTGATGTGACACCAATTAATGTACAGTTTCAGAAAGAAGTATTTCACAGACTGAACAAAAATTCCTTGGAAAAAAAGTATTTATAAAATTGGGTTCCAGGTTTTCCAGAAGCATAAATATCTTCTTGTGACTAACTCCTGTAACGTATAGCACCGGACTGAACCTGGGCCAGGATTCCACCTTCCTGCTCAGCTGACTCCCTCCCTGTTCTACCTACCATTGCAGTGCTCCCACCAGTCTTTGCTCAAAGAAATTAACAATTGCCTCTGCCTGCTCATTTAAATGATTTTAGAAGCAGCCATATTTTAGCATTCTAATAAAAAACCCTATTGAAACATGTCACATCTGAGAATGACAAGTATATGCAAAAACCTTGCAGGATATTTACATACCACCATACCTGTTGAGAAAAATCAAAATGGTCTTGATACAGCTACTAACCATTTGGCAAAATACCTTATATTTAGGCTCTGTTTGCTCATGAAACTCCACAAATATTTAGATGAAACATGATTGAGTAGAAATGCATCAAACGTACATAAAAAGGAAATAAATCCAGTTGAAAGATATGAGAAATTGCCCTAACAAATGTTTATATTAACTTTCTTCTTTGCCAATGAGAGTAGAAAATAAGAGTTAACTGCCTGTTAACAGTGACATGATGGTAGCATTGTGTGTCATCCTGAAGAAAACCTGAGCTTGGAGCAACCTCAGATGACTCATCCGTCAGATGGTGGAGACTAGGAGAAAAATGAAAGCAATGTTTTTACTTCCTGGGATAGGCTTAGTAGCTTAGAACATCACTTCTCACACCCTGCCTGCTGATCCATAAGATGATACTTATTACTGTCCTTAAGATGATAAAACATCCTATTCTTTTGCAGAAAATAAGGTTCTCCAAAAAGAATCAGTTTCTGAGGGGTGAAGAGGAAAATCAGGGTTGAAGAAAGCAGCAATAGATATCTTGGAGTAAGGAGAGAAAAACAAACATTTACAAAAATGTTTTGTAGAAAAGCTTAAGGACAAGCAATTGTAACTTTTAAAAGCCAAACTGACATTGGTAACAAGTATTTACTATTTTAAATACTTACTGTAATACCATGGGATGGTCCCATATGTTGCACATGAAGGCCTGGGGAATTGTAGTAAGACATTCCAGCTCTAGTCAGTGAAGTTGGCGGTGTGAAACCAACTGTGTGACTTGCATATGACAGACCTAAAGGTTGTTAAAACAAGATAACATCAAAATTCTTGTTCACATTACAAACTAAAGTATGAGGGTTTTTAAATTTTCAGCTCTGAATCGACAACAGGTTAAGAAATGGTAACTGCTGCCAGATTAGACATCTAAAAATACACTTTGCACTGAAAAGTGGGGTGTAAAATTTATATCCTTTCCTGTAGTAAACTGCCATATGTATCAAAACATATGTTACACAGTTTTAAATGTAACATTTCACTTAACATAAACGGTGCAAAGCTCCTCTCTGGCAGCTTAGTTTTAGTCTACATCTATTTCCATCCAGCCTTCTGTTTCTCCTCAGAGGAATGGCCCCCTGACCATAATAGAGTCTGAAAAAGCAGGGAGCTTTTGCCTGGAGAAGCCATCTAGCACTGGGCCACTATGGGTTTCCACAAAGAAACTGGCTGCAGGTGGCTCCTCCAAGGCATACCAGATCCACACTCAGGCCTCCTCCTGTCTTGCCTCAGTCTTTATAGGCAGGGACAAAAAAAATCTTTGGGGCTGTGAAGTTAAAACATTGTGGGATTAGTTGCTAGCTGGGCAAGGCTAGTAGCAACTAACACTTAAAATTACAATTTGTTTTATTCACATTAAGAAAAGCCTAATGTTCAAAACTGCAAATATCTAATTCTTCCACGTGAAGATTTCCTTCCTGTAAGAACTAACTTACAGAGTACCTGTACAGCTAACCAAGCTAAACAAAATGAGCAAATACTAAGCATTTAAAACTCAGATCTTGAAGTGTTCTGAATATTTTAAGGATTTTTCAACAGCACATTTCCCAAAACCTTCAGGTCATTGGTGATCTTTTTGTCAGAAAGCAATAAAGTAGGAGACAAGAATTCTCAGCTAGAAATTGCTTTGGAGAATTACAACCAAAGCAATTCTAAGGGTCTATTAAACTTTTATAATACCACACTAGATTTAAGTTTTCACACTTCCTCAACACCAAATCAGTGTGAAACAGTGCCACTGCAGCTAGAGTATGCACCAACAGGGCAGCTTTGTCTTTTAACTGCCTGTGTCTGTTTCTGCCTATGACTGATCACAAGACCTTGGAAAAAAAGCCTCAGATCACTAATAAAGCTATAAGAAAATCACACTTCCTCAACACCAAATCAGTGTGAAACAGTGCCACTGCAGCTAGAGTATGCACCAACAGGCCAGCTTTGTCTTTAACTGCCTGTATCTGTTTCTGCCTATGACTGATCACAAAATCTTGGAATAAAAAGCCTTAGATCACTAATAAAGTAATAAGAAAACATACTCCTGTCACTTTCTTAAATTGTAAGTTTGATTCTGCTACATTCCCAATGTAAGTTTTGTGCAAATTACAAGTGATTGTCACTTTAGTTAAACAATGACTATATAATTTGTGACTATATGATCTAATTGTCTGCACAGCACAAGTGTTTTACCAAGTGCTTTTGTAGGCAAGATGACAAAAACAATTCAATGTTCAGGTAGGTGACAACACAGTCCAAATCAGAGACAAGAGCCCAGAAAAATAAAAGGCAAAAAACATGCCTTAAGCCACCTTTGCAACATTACAATTTTGGACTGCTTTGGGGAAAAAAAAGGGCTCCAAAAGTTTTACAAATGCAAGTCTATACAGCAGTCAAAGAAATGATAACAGAGTAATGCACATACATCCAAGCGAGCTCATCTCTGCAAGCCAAATCCTCTATCTAGCCTAGCTGCAGAAGCAAAGGATAAAACAGTTTATCTACACTAGTAATTCTAACTGGTTTCAAATGACATTGACAAATTCAGGCACATCGTTTCCCAAATGGAATATACAATTACTTGATGTAAAATCTTATACTATTCTGTGCTGACACTTTTGACAGTGTCTTACTGTACTACTTCAAAGTACTCTCAAAAACCGTTAGTTTTCATCAATTACTCTGTTCATATATCCCAGAAAGCTATAAAAAAATTCCCTCTTGATCTCATTATTTCTCTAACAAAATGCTGCTTCTACTTTTCTGAAGCCTGAAACTTGTCTGATGTGGATATTTATCAGATGTGAAGGAAAGTAATGTAGCTGCCTGAGCAGAAACTGAAAACACTACCCTGGAACTTTTACTGTGGCAACATTATAGCTTCTAACAGTTCACACTTTTGGTAATTTCAGCTGTGCTCTTTTCAACTCTGCTTCAGACTGTGTTTCAGCATTCCCTGTCTCTGGGACATAGTTCCCACTAGAACACAGTACTCTTGTACCAACAACAGACAAAGTAAAGCCCACAAGGAACAAGGAATGTGCCTCCAACTTAGTGTAGGAACAAACTGACAGCATCCACCTGCACTGATGCATCAGCATCTGAAACAGTTTTTCTTGGCAACATACCTTCCAAAACACTGAAAAAATCAAGTGATTTTGCTCATTTTATAAGCCCAAAAGCCTCCCTCTTGAAAAACTCTACAATAATGCTCATCTCTAACACTGTAACAAAGCTTACAGCCATAGCTTAGTTCTCAACACATGCTTGCTCCTTTTGCAACACCTGGATGAAATCTACTTTGGGTCCTTCTGAAAAACTGAATTCAAACTTTAAAAAGTTTAAAGACATTTGAGATGTTCTAGCAGACCTGTGTAACAAAACATCTCTATCTCACCTTGCAGAATTTTTCAATGCAGAGCACATCTCATTGGCCCTTACTGCAGGACTCTGACAGGTTCTAAAGCTGAACTTGGCAAAGCAGGGCACGCAGGATTCACTTCATTATGTGCAAGGGAGTTTGGGATTGCCATATAACACCCATGGCCAGCAACTTCCAATGAGTATCCAAGTGCAATTTTAAGGGATTTGAAATTTCAGTCAATAAATGTGTTAGTAACACAAATACATTTCCTCTGACTTAAATATATTCACTAATTAAAAACTCCAAAAAGGTTGGTTTGCTTTTTTCATACAAAGCACTGGAGTCAGGAATGCTTAATTTTATAGTTACTGTTTTACAACAGAAAACAACAAAAGTGTAAAAGCCCTTTCTCTACCAAAAATAAACAGAAAATGATTTTCCAACACACAAGAAGTTTTTATTCAGTGCACAATAGTGGTCTCATCACTAATTCATCATGAAACTCTAGAAATCTGTTTGAACTATGCAGCCTGTTGGGCAACTACTATGGAGGGGGAGAAAAAAAAAAAAGATGGTAAGAGAGAAAAAGTGGGCAAAAAAGACAGAAAAGTTCAAGGGATAGCTACTCAACTGACCTTTAGTATCTGTTCACAGTGTAAAACTAAACCATCCAATAACATGCCACCGTGTAAGAATTCTACGCCAAAACTATTCTTACATTTATGATGCAGTTTTTTCTCCAGAGTAGCTTTGAAAGGCTACTGACCAAAATATGTTAAAAGGGCACATTACTATGTGATGCATACAACAATTTTAGAAACTGGATTAAATATTTACCAGGTGATATAGGTCTGCTAGAACTTGGTGAGGGTGTATAAGGGATAGGACTGGACACAGTGCGAGGTCTTAATCCTTGTGCAGACATCTCATTAAAATATCTAACAAAAAAAGGTAAAGAATAATTAGATCAAGCCTTTTAAAGTGTGCCATGTTTTAAATCTTTCACTGTGCTTTTTTTCAAAAAGAATCATATTAGATTAATGAAGGACCAGTCACATTTTGGAAGTCATGACAGGAAATCTTGTGATTGCTGAAGGCTCAGACACTGGTTTAACTTTCAGTGGAAACAGCAGGATTCATCTTAGTCATTTGCAGCTAAAACTGTACAAGTCACAAACAATTAGAGTAGTACATATCAAGGCTGAAGGTATAAATTGTGTCATCCAATTTTTACCTATTTTTTCCACAGTACTATGCTGGCAGCTTTCAGGTTGACTTGCTTAGGCATTCTCCACCTAGATTTTTTCTAGTTATTGTCTAGATTAGAGGTTCCCCTGCTCACCTTCTCCTGCACCTATGGTTGAAAACCCGTGCACCTGGGTTTGTATTATTTCATTTAGATGTGTTTCTCTACTGGACACAAAGGAGCAGAGAAAATTAGGTACCTAACAGCCCTTTGACTCTTACTTGTCTTTCACCACCATGTTCTCAGAAATTCTTAGTAGCTACAGTTATTTCCAGATCACAGGGGAAAAAAAACCCAAACCAACCATGAACAAACGATGAAGCAGATTTAGATGTGTTTCTCTACTGGACACAAAGGAGCAGAGAAAATTAGGTACCTAACAGCCCTTTGACTCTTACTTGTCTTTCACCACCATGTTCTCAGAAATTCTTAGTAGCTACAGTTATTTCCAGATCACAGGGAAAAAAAAACCAACCATGAACAAACAATGAAGCAGCATTAGAAATACTCCTATTTGATGGAACTCGTTGACCACCTCAAGGTTTGTAAGCCACTTCATAAACTATTTGAAACATGTTTTGATGCTGCACCTTAATGATTTTCAACTAGAATATTCAGAGTTACTAAGCCACGAAACCTAACATGCAGTACACTGTAGTGATATAGATGTTGGTTTAAATTTGGGTAGATGAGGTAATACAAGTAGCTGCAATATTGAATGACAGAAAATTAACAAACTGGCAAACTGAAGTTTTCTGAAGGGCTAATGGGGCAAGGTTAGCAAAACTGAACTGACTAGGCTACCTCTGCAATACACAGTATTTCTAATAGAGATAGTATGTGTATTACAGCAAGGCAGTGGCCTTTGTGATTTAATCCTATTTTACTCTACATGAAAACAATTTTCTCCAAGTCATCCTAGTACCTGGATCAGGTGACAGGGAGTAGCAGCAGACTCTGTGTTTTCTGGCTTCAGATCTCTCTCTACTACTCCAGAGAACAGGATGGAGGATTAAGACAAAGCTATTGCTAGTCAGGAGGGAAGCAGCTTTGGGAGAGCTGTGTATTTTGCATCCAGTAAAGCATTTTCATCTACCCCCAATCGGTCTGAAAAAAGTATCATCAGCTAACAAAATTCAAAAAACTGGGCATCTGATCCATGACCATCATCATTTTTAGGAAGACCACATAAACAGACAAAAAAAAATCATCTACCCCCAATCGGTCTGAAAAAAATTATCCTCAGCTAACAAAATTCAAAAAACTGGACATGTGATCCATGACCACCATCATTTTTAGGAAGACCACATAGACAAAGAATTTACATTTTAACACCATTACTGCATGTAGTTCCACAATTATTTCATCTACACAGTTCTCCAAAGACTAACCACTCTCACAACTGCTTTGTTCTTCCCTTTACTTTGTATTGCTTACACTGTGAATACCTGTTTTGGAGTCATTCTGTCATGCTTTTGCAGTATCAAGAAAAATCAAAGTGTCAACAAAATTTCTTAAAAGTACAGAATAGTTAACCACGTTTTCCTGCATTTTACTGATTACCCCTACCTACAACTGTTTGACAAAAATAATTATCAGAATACTCTGTTTTTTCATTATCATTGGTAATACATGGATTTAGATTTTGACTGCATTTCCACTACAATGCAAACATCAACAGAAAAGATCAGGCTAACAAAAGAATTCAAACACCAGAAAAGATTCAAACATCAAAATCCCACGTTTCTAACCATTTAATTTATCCAGCATTCACTACACCTTAATACCAGATGCTATTCCAATATATGTCAGTTAAATGAAAACACCACCTTGAACTTTAAGGGAGCTCTCCTTGAAACAAAATATCTGGTACATTATGGCTTATAATAAGTATGATGACCCAAGAGGATACCTCAGGAACAGCAGAATACACAGCACAGGGTAAGTTGGTGTGGTGTGGTTTTTTTGTTTTTTTTTTTTTTTTAAAGGGTGACTATAAATCCAAAATAATGTAATACAGCACAACATAATAATGAGCATTTGATAAAAAATAAGAACATTTTAGTCAAAGGGTACTTAGAAACCTCTTTCAAGATATAACACTGTCATATGAGTATGACGTGAGAAAACACTAAAAGGCATCATATAAAACCATGAAAAACTCAAAACTATCTGTAAGGTCAGTGCAAGCAATGCAGCTTGCAGTAGAGAAAAAAAATCCAAGGATGATATGTTTAGACATCAAGAACAACTTAACAGTTTGGAAATGCTTCCTCTCCCTACAGCTTTACACAATATCCCTTTGTATTTGGCTGAACACATTTTACTTTATGTGAAGGACAAACGAGCCCCAAGTAAGGATGTTGTTCCTACCTCACACAACTCCTTGCAGTTACCAAGTTAGGGACAAAACCTAAAGGTACTAAAATTTAATTACCCTGAATCTCAATTCCACAGCTATATTCATTTCAATGTGCATCATCAACCCCCTAAGCGATCTTCAGATACATATATAGATATTTTATTCCTCACTGATAAAAGGAATGTTGAAATTTGATGTGTTAAACCTATATACAGGTGATTTCTAGAAATACTTATGCTATAATAATCAAAATGAATGAGTATTGAATATTATGACTAGAAAAACACAAACCTTTCATCGTCCATTTCTAAGCTGGATTCACTTTCTGACAGTTGCCTGCAGAGTGCTTCCCTACGTTCCATTTCCCTCTGTAATTTTCTTTGAAGTCTTAAGTTTTCTTCTCTCATATGTCGCTCCTCTTCTAAATATTGTGCCATCTTCTCTGAATCTGAAATTCAGAATTTTATTAAAATCTGATTAAAATTCAACTTCACAGACAGGCAAATATGTTGTGCCTAATTTTGCTGCCATACTTCAAGAATGAGGGTATAGAAAATGCTCAGGGTGGTTCAGTCAAAATTCTCATCACTAAGTCACTAGTTCAAAGCCTAATTCAGAATAGCAGCTACTAAAATAAATTACCTGTCAACAGCAATTTTCAAAATAAGAGGGAAAAAGCAAAAAAGTATTTACTTAAATGGATTTGAAAAGAAGGTGGGGAAAAAAACAAAACCAAAACCTTTAGGTTTACAACAATTCCTGCTCCACTGAAATAATGCAATTCCATGATTACAAAAAATTTACTGCAACACATAGAAGAAATTGTTTTGAAGGAGGAAGCACTAAAGTTCTGATACCCAAGCCACTCAAACTTTATTAAACTGCTACCTTAGATGTATTGTATAGCATTCTTTCAACCACATGTTTTATCATAGAGATTGGCCAGCAGAACATGTACCAACACTACAAGCCAAAAAGTGGTTTTCTCTTCTCATCAAGGGGAAATTTTAGTTTGCAATTCTGAAGTTCAACAAACATCACTTAAATACTTTGATATCACAGGCCACCTGAAGTGATAAAACCAAATTATGGAAAGCTACAAAGCATTTTGACAGATTATTTAAATAAAAAGGAAGGCAGACTTACAATACTTTGTGAGAATTTCTAATGTTTGAGTTTAGTTAATTCCTTGGTATTAAAAAATTCTATGATTCATCATGCTTTGCCTTCACCTCTCTATACAGCACCTTCTAATCAAAACAATATTCCTGTTACAGAAGATCACTCACTATCAATCTGATTTCTCTTTTCTGTAGAAATATCACTTCTAACAGTATCACTTATTTAAGATTATTATATCTAGACTAGAAGCAAGTGCTTCAGGAATACAAGATTAACACAAACATCTGAATCTATTTTATTATGTCTCTATGACTAATACTAGAGGCTAATGACCACACGTTGGAAATATCAAGTTTAAACTATTTCAGCTTCATTTTCTTCTTGCAGGCTAAGCACATCCACCATTTCTACCCATATCACTACTCATATTGCAGCTGTTCCATCAGTTCATAAGGTTTTTTTTTAAAGAGTACATTAAAACCTAGATCTGATTTTGAATTTGACTTCAAATGCTTCTGCATTTTTGCCATAAATCTCAGTAATTAAAAAAAAAAACCCACTTAAAAATAATAAAGAATACTTGAAAGGCAATTAAATTAGCCTACATGTGTACAAAGAGTACTTTAAATTTAAGGTCTTGCTCTTATTCTGAAGTTCATCAAGCAAAGGCTGCAGTACAGAATTGGCAACTACAAAGGTTAGCATTCCTTATCTTCTCTTGACTGACACAAATTATTAATACCACAAACTTGTGCACAAGGCCTCTGCAAAAGGGCACCCTCCCATCATCTCTGTCTTTAAGCAAGGCCACTGCCTCTGGCAAGCTATTTTTCAAAAAGGGAGTTGAAATATTCCAGTTAGCCTGTCAAATCCAGCACATTAGCTGGGGAGAATATTGCCCATTTTCCACTTAGACAAAGTCTTTCAGTCTCAAAGGTTAGGTATCTACTCACCTAACAATTGAAATATAATGCTACTGACTACGAACAAGGCAGAACTGATGAAACTCAAATTTTAGATTAAGCATGAAGGAATTAAGAATTTATATTGCAAAGATCAAAAGACCTTCCTGCCAGCTGAGACCATGTGCTCAGAACCATAGCCTCTTCTCTGGAAAAGGAGGGCAAAAAATTCCACTTGCATGACACTTTTCACAATTGAAACACAAGGACTTTTATACAACTATCCTTTCTGTCCACTTTCAAACTGATCTGACATAAGGAAAGAACAAGATAAGATTACCTGTTCTGCTATGTTGTAAAGTCAAATAGCTGCCTGAACAATCAGTCTAACAGCCACGATTATTTAAAGGTAGCTGCAATTATTAACAAGTGAAATTCTTATCCATAACTGAATTTTTGCTAGCTGTTAATTCTCTGAAGCAGTTCTTAATTTACAAGACTCTTACAAAGTCAGCCACAAGTAAACTTTAAAAAACCTGTATGTTGAAATACTGCTCAGTCTCTGAAAAGAAAAAATTTTTCTGGCCCCAAATATTCAAGAAATTTGTTGATTCTTCCAGATGCCCTTCAGCTAAAGCTAAAAAACCTCAAACTGCAGTATAAATACATCAATGAGCAATAATACTGCAATTATGAAACTGTTTTAATTCAAACCTGCCCTATTTTTCCTCTAAAGTTCAAATTCATTGCAGTATACATAAAAATCTTAATTTACACGAACTTAAAAAGATTTGAAACAAGTTGTTTACTCACGCTGTAATTGTGCAGCCCTCAGTTGCTTCTTTAATCTCTCCACTTCATTCTTTAAAAATCTGATATGTCTCATCATATTTTCTGGAGAATCTATCTCCATTGATATGTCTCTGGGTGATGGTGGAGCAGATACTGGCTGGTCTAATTTCTCCTGCAAAATTCTGCATGAAAATAGTTCATACCTTCAATTCTAATGAAAGAAACCCCAAAACAACAAGAATAACAACAACAAAAACCAAACCTTAAATCCCCCAAAAGCCACTGCAAGGATTCTGACAGGTATGTAAGATTAATTTTAATTACTGTTTCTGGAGAGAGAATTTTAGGAGGATTTATAAAGCTTTCTTTTTTAACTTGAAATAAAAGGAGGTAAAATTTGTCACCCGAGCACAGAAGGATTTTCTGAAATATTCAGACATGGACACTTCCAAATATTTCTGCATACAGTTCAGGAAAAAAAAAATCTGGACTATTTATAGTTGCTTCAGTTTTATACTCAAATACTACTTACTGTTTTGGCTTAAAGAATCCTTTACATTTAAGATGCATAAAAATCCTACCCAAGTCCCATTGTGCTATGGATTTACTAGTGTTGCATATCACATGTAGCTCTTCAGAGCACCCTCCACACAGCAGGGGTCTGTAAAATGAAACTACAAAACCTGCAGGTCACCCAGGCTCAGGTGTTTAAGGCTGAGTCAAGATTCACAGAGTCACACTAACTTCCAACCTAACCACATTCTGTGATTCTCACTGAACAAAAATACACCAAAATACCATGTTATTTTCTCTGGGCCATGAATATAAAGCTGACCCCAAAACAAAAGCTTTGAAAAGTGTTTATCAGCAGTTCAAAAAATTCAGCAGCTTCCTTTGACTTTCCCAGCTCATTCCTTATAGTATTTAGCTTCATCTACTTTAAGCAATCAAGGATGTGGCATCATGTAAACAAGGAGCTTCATAACTGCTTTAACTTCCAGGTTTTCATAGATTAAACAATTCTTAAGGGACAGAGATGCACATATTTAATCCAGAACATGATGTATGATCTCTCCCACAGTAACACACTGCAACTAGACTAACCTTTTTTCTGCTTCAAGCTTATCCATCCTCTTCCAGAGACGATTCACTAGCGCTTCTTGTTCCTGTTCCAAAGTATTTTCAAGGTCAATCTTCTCACGTCTTAGCTGGAGAGGAAAAACAATCAATGGAAATGACAGAACTATTTTTTGCAAGGAACTGTCATTAGGAAAGATCATTGCTATAACAACACCATTTTACATGCTGCTCTGTGACAACAAGGAGAAGGTGAAGGGGCAAAAATCAGGCACACGGGTCACAGTCAGTCACAAACTAGACTAACCTTTTTTCTGCTTCAAGCTTATCCATCCTCTTCCAGAGACGATTCACTAGCGCTTCTTGTTCCTGTTCCAAAGTATTTTCAAGGTCAATCTTCTCACGTCTTAGCTGGAGAGGAAAAACAATCAATGGAAATGACAGAACTATTTTTTGCAAGGAACTGTCATTAGGAAAGATCATTGCTATAACAACACCATTTTACATGCTGCTCTGTGACAAGGAGAAGGTGAAGGGACAAAAATCAGGCACACTGGTCACAGCCAGTCACAAATCAAGAGATTCAGGAGTGGTACAGTTGTCATCTCCTTAACACAAATTTTTCTTGCAGAATTTGTTTCTGGCCATTAAGGAGGGGCTTGAAACCTGGACATGCAGTCACTGATGACCTGACAAACCTATTCAAAGACACCTATTCCCTGTTGTCTGAAGCTCAGACTGAATTTACTGCCCACTACACCAACAATTATTCTTTTCAAAAATTTTAGACTTTTTTTAGTGGAACAATCAGTTAAGTCAGAAATAGAAGTGAAGCTATGTTTGCTTTGTGATAAAAGAGCAACATAAAATAGTGAAGTCATGTGAACTGCCTTAAGTGTTACTGTATCAATCCCTACTAGCAGAAAAAAGTATTCCTATCTTAAACTATGAAAGTGCTTAACTTGACATTATTCCCATTCACTTACTGTGCACACAAACATTCTCAATGCTACCACAAGCTAATAAAAGCACATATGACATAGAACCACACATGAAAAAAATTATTATTTTAGTACAAACACAAAGCAAATAACAGAGTACACCAAACACTAAGAGGCACAGTTGATCTTATTCAGTAACACTGGCAGTTGAACTCCAGTCGTGAGCAATAATGAAACATACGGGAGTAGATCCAACACCTTTACAGGTGGAAAAAAACATGGATGTATTCTTCCCAGCCAAGCTCTAGTTAACACTTGCTGCTTTCCTACTGAGCAAATAATCCCACATAAGTAAATGGAAAGACTTAAAACATAGTAAGTGATTTCCTCAGACATTTACTGCATCACAGGGTGAAATGCTATTACAGCAGTTAAATCTGCCAGGGCTCTGTGCTAACCATTAAATTAACACTGAGATATCCAAACAAAATTTAAACTCATACAATCCAGGTAACAGTGCAAGTTTAATGCATGTACAAATTCCTTTTTTAAAGCTTAGAGGAATTGGTTACTGTAAGGAAAAAACAGACACATTGATGAGTAACAGTGAACTTAATTAGAAAAAAGAAGCACTTAAGTCAACCTTTCCATGTCTGAGTTTCCAGATGTATCTTAACAGTTGAGGGAACTCAGCCTCAGAGGAGGGATGAGAGTTTGCATCCTGACCAACACTTTGTTCCCCACACCAGCAGAAGCTGGAGCAGTACCAAGGTAGATAAGGGCACTGCTCATTAGCCAGTATGGCCAGTGCTTGGGGCTGGTGGCATTCAGAGGGAAGGAAGTACACAAAACCTTCTGGGAATCTGCACATCAGGCTTTTCCATTACCAACAGAGAGATCTTTTCCTCATTGCATAGCTACCTACATAAACACACAATGGAAAAGGTTTTATTGCAGATCACTACTTCTGCAGCAGTGCTTTTTGACTGACTCCAGTGCAGCGTGGTTTAGATTCACCTCCTCTGATATAGTCTTTTTACAACTATGTTATTGATCTAGCACCAAACACACCCACAAAAGCATACTGTTGAAAGTAAATCTATTTCAGGAAGAAGAGCACATTAGAATTTGAACACAGTCAACAACCTTGGATTTGAAAAAAAAAAATCTTAGATTACATTTAGTACTAGAGCAACTATCACCAAGGGAGCAGACTCCATTAATTAGAAATCTGCACATAGGTGAGCATGCACAATATCTAAGTCAAATCATCAGCAACAATATATAGATGAGATGTGTCATGCTCTGAAGGCTGACAGACATGCTCTGATGAAACACCAAAGAAACAGGGTAAAACTCCACTTTTCCAGAAATATGAAAAGACACTGGAAAGATGAGATGTGTCATGCTCTGAAGGCTGACAGACATGCTCTGATGAAACACCAAAGAAACAGGGTTGTGAACCAGAGGTCTAAAGCTCCACTTTTCCAGAAATATGAAAACACACTGGAAGCAACCATCTTCCTTTCCTGATCTTGAGTGTTGCCTAGTTCCTCCCAGCATCAGGATATTAAAGCTTTGAGGACAAACACCTTGAACTGAACCTATAGGAGAAGCAACTACAGTATCCTGATCAGAGTTGTGAATTAAAATAGGCCTATTTGTTTTGTAATAGGTAGCTTCAGGTTTACTTTGAAACTTACAACTAGCTCTAGTCACTGAATTTGTCAGGAATGTGGCAATATTCTGAACAAAATTAAGCAGGATGGGATTGTACCTCAAGACCAAACCAGCAGCTCTGTCAATACTAGTGTCATTCCATATGGGTTCAAAGTCACGTTCCAATCAAATACCATTTGATTTTTACCATCACAACAGGCAAATGAGGAGGTGTTGCCTGCTTCTTGAGACCTTAATCTTCCCTTCAGAGAAGGAGAAAAACCCCTTTTAACCTTTCTCACCAGCCAATTGTGCTTCTTCTCATCTCTCTCCCATGAGTACACTTTTTTTAGATGCAGCTAAAATATCCATTGTCTGTGTATTCCTGGATTACTGCTTCTTCAGTCTTCTTGCCAACTTACTAACAAGCACAACTTGTCTCATGAAATGGAGATCTTCCAAATCAATGCAAGTGGAATATGATCTCTGCCTAAGCCCACTATCCCAAATTTCAGTTCTCTGCTTCTCATCTGCCTCTCCCCACTTGCAGCTTTCTTTGCTGCTTTCTGAGAAAACATTTTCCAGAAGATTTTACACATTTCATGTTCTCCTCCTTTCAAAGAAGCAGACGCAGGAGATTATTAGCAGCATACTTCTTATTTCTCATCTCCTAACTGCATCAATTCTAGTTTCTCACTGTACTGTATGAAATAGAAAAGCAATTAGAAAGTGTAACGCAGACGCAGGAGATTATTAGCAGCATACTTCTTATTTCTCATCTCCTAACTGCATCAATTCTAGTTTCTCACTGTACTGTATGAAATAGAAAAGCAATTAGAAAGAGTAACAAGACTGCAAAAACTTGGCTTCTG